TGTCAGAAGAGCAGCCTCTCCTCGATCAACGTGCAGACGGACCTGTCCTATGCCTCACCTGACTTGACACCTTCTGCTCAGTGGCTCAGCCCAGATTCCTTTGTGTCATCGTGTTCTCAAACGGACCTGTCGTCGTTTGATTCTCAAGTGTCCCTTCCCATTAGTGTCCACACCCAGACGCTGGTGCCCAGCTCAAAGGTCACTTTCATCCATAGCTGCTCAGACAGATGCGCTTATTCATGCCTGTTTCCAGCCAGGTGAGATCTCCAGGGAAACCCAAACCAGCAGGATGAGAGACCCCACCCATGACCCTGTGCAGGTGGACCACGCTGGCCTGTGTGGGGACATCTTTGAAAGTGTCCACTCATCATACAGTGTCCCCGCGGACAACATCTTGAGTAGCAGTTTAGTTTCAGAGACTGTCACTCATGGTCTGTTCCCTCAGAACGACCCTAAGATACTAAGCCCAGTCATTGAAAAGTCTGCGCCTTTGTTACGCTTCAGTGCTCAGAACAGCATGCTTCCCTCACAGAACATGACTGATAATCAGACCCAAACCATAGAAAACATCCTGTCAAGCAACCTGCCTGGCCAAGCACTGGATAACCAGAGTCTTCTGTCCTACACGAACCCCGGGCCTGACACCCAGCTCCCAGCAGGCTCAGCCCAGAATTCTGGGATTGATTTCGATCTTGAAGAGTTCCTCTCGGCCTCAAATATCCAGACTCAGACGGAGGAGAGTGAGCTCACCAGCGTGAGCACTGAGCCTGCCCTGGAGTCCCTGGACATCGAAACTCAGACCAACTTCTTCCTCACAGACCCGTCCGCACAGCCCTAGGGCTTCAGGGCAAGTTCAAGCTTTCTGGGCCTGGAGATGTTTGACACACAGAGGCAGACAGACTTAAGCTTCTTCTTGGACAGTAGTCCTCACCTGCCCCTGGGCAGCATCCTGAAACACTCCAGCTTCTCTATGAGCACTGACTCCTCTGACACAGAGACCCAGACAGAAGGCGCCTCCCCGGCTCGACACACACCCATGCTGGAGAGCAAGGCCCAGCTGAACAGCACAGAAACACAGACCCTGAGTTCTGGCTTCGAGCCCCTGGGGAACTTGTTCTTCACCAGCAACGAAACTCAGACAGCAATGGGTGACTTCCTTCTAGCCGATTTGGCCTGGAACACAATGGAGTCCCAGTTCAGCTCTGTGGAGACGCAGACCAGAGCTGCATGCCCACGCTGTCTCCAGTTTCTGAACGGGCGGCAAGGCTCCCCTCCCCTTGTGGTTTAGGACACGGCAGAAGGACAGCCGTACCAACTGGGAATGGAGTTGGTGGGGCAGCAGCTGTTGAGATTCTCTGCAGTTCTTGGCGTTTGTACTTGTGAACACAAGATGTGTACAAATGTGAGTGTATTATAAAGTGTAAGGTGTTTATCTGAAACAACAAAAAAAGACAATAGAAAACTGAAGCAAGAAAAGCAATGCTCTTTATAACATTGTTAGGACTTTAGGCCCTTGCTGCATCCTGTCCTTCCTTGTCACCTTACATTACCTTTTCTTGTTCTCCTTTCTACTTGTTACACCGTGTGCACACTCCACACTCACAGATGTTCACACTGTGCATCCCAGGCTGGGACAAGCATATGAGGGAGTGCATGGGTCTCTTTCTCTCTGAGTTTGTGTGACCTTATTTAATATTATACTTTGTAGATTCCCCACTTTCCTGAAAG